GTTCTCTTTTAAAAAAATAAAAGACATAAATTATTTATTATTTGAGTAATTATATGTTTATTTCTCTGTTCAAATATGTGGGTTGGAGCTTTCTACTGCATGCCCCTTACTGAAAAAAGTCAAGAAAAAGAGAATACATCACAGACCCAAGAGGACAAACAAAAGGGAGGGTGAAAAATGAAAGAAAAGCAAAGAAAATTATATATATATATATATATATATATATGTATATGTAAACATGGATGCATGATTGCCTGGAAATTCAAAAGTTATGGCTAACCACAATGACTTTCTCTCTTTCTTTTTCAAACAACAAACTGATATATTTTATTTTCTTTTGTCCTTCACAGTTGCTTCCCATCTCTTCCCTACTCTCATACCCACATAAACCTAAAAATCTTTAAGCTTACCCAACTTGCTCGCAGATTGCATCATGTATAACCAAGTTCCGAAATGATCGGTTGGTTCTTTGCTTGTTCGAGTAATGGTATTATCAGCTCTGTTTTAAATTTTCTTCCTATCAACCTCGAAAACGTTATACTAAACTTTCCAAAACCTTAAACCGATACAAATTTGTTTAATTTATTATCCATACGTTCACGTATTCTTCTTCGTATGAAAGCTCAGTAGATCGAACGTTTCGATCAAATCCACAAATTACCATGTACAGATAAAAACAATGGCACAGTAAAAAGTGATTTATATATCAAACCCAGATCATAAAAGTAGTAAGATTTCAAGGATGGTAGGTAGAAAATGGTAATTTTCAATTTGTGGATGATCTTGTCATTAACTGGTAAACATTCTTTTCACTTGTTGAACTTGTTTTTCTCTTAGTTTCCAGTCAACATATCAGATGACCAAAATAGTCATGTTTGCATGCATGAAATCATTTTCATATTACACACAGCCTATATACTATATAACTTTTAAAATTAAAAACATTCATATCCTTATTTTTTTAAAAAAAAAAATATATACTTTTTTTTTTATTTGTACAGTAGGATTGGTCATATACTTTTTTCATATGAAGCATAAGTTTTTAGTATCCAAGTGTTGCATTCAATATTGAATGCAGAAAATACCCTATATATATATATACACACACACACATATAAATATATATCACAAAGTTTGGGGGGGGGGGGGGAGGGGGAGGGATTATAAAAGGGGTAGAAAGAAAGAAGAAGAAGAAGAAGAAGAAGAAGAAAATTTAGGGTCTGTGTTCTTAATTAATGAACCAAAGTTGTTTAACACTTAAAATTTGAGTTAACAGAGAAGAAAAATCACAAGTCTTCTTGAATTCTTTTACTTAGCAAATTATCATTAATTATGTTTCATAGCTAATTAATTATAATTAATTAATTAATTAAACAGCTACTTAAATTATTAAAAGTCTTTCTCTTTTCAGAAAAATTTGGTTCAGTGCAAAAACAGTGAAATGGTCATGTCAATTGTCAACTCTCGGTTGGTGAAGGTGGAGGTGAATGTAACAGAAGTATATCACTTCACCATGCAATGTACATAATTCTAGTTCTAGTTTTCTTTTTTTAATATATATGTATGTATATATTATATAAAGCTTATTCATAGAATAAACTCAAACTATCTTAATTTCTAAATCACCTTCATAATTAGCTTAATATTAACCTAATGCATTTAAGAGTTTATTTTAGTTAAGTAATTCAGTTCTAATTTCTTACCAAATTCAAACTTTTTGGATCAAAGACCTGAAATTTATTGTCTTCTCTGTGTATGTGTGTGTGTATATACAGACACATATATATATATATATTAATGTTGTGCATTGTAATTGACATGAAAAATATGGGAAGAAACAGAGAAAACAAGAATGAAAATTTACCCAGAGAAATTCAGTTCATCTTGATTCAGAATTTTCATGGTTGAAAAAAGAAAAATGAAAATTAGAAGAGAAAGAAGATAAAGAAAAGAGCTTTATACCAGATAATGCTTAAGAAGAAAATCAAATTGTACAATTGAAGCAAATTGAACATCTATTTACCTACCCCATTAACAATAACGATCATCATCATCATCATCTTCTTCTTCTTCTTCTTCTTCATTCAACTCAAATCAAACCCTACTCTGCAACTCCCTCTCTATGGAGTTGTTTCCTTTTTAAGAGGAAGAACCCGAAACTCGCGGCGAAGTCAACGGGAAAAGCGTCAAGAGCTGTGGCTCCGAGTCTCTAGGCGTAGAAATGGGTGATGGGTGTAAGTAAAATCCTTTCTCTGCAATCGCTCTCTCTTCCTCCGACGAGTTTCCGACCGTCGACGGCGACGACTTGTTAAATGGGTCTTCATTCAACGGCGTAACAGGACTCAGCACGAGCTTAGGGAAGTCAAGCAAGCTCGGGGATAAGATCTCCGGCTTCCTCGGCGAGAACCCATGATTAACACCACTACTACTAAAATTCACAGCAGGAGAAGAAGAAGAAGAAGAAGAAGCAGTCATGAAGGTGTTGATGATGAGACTGTTCTTGAGATTATAATTATGTCTTCTCTCGTACAATTTGAAGCTGCTGCTTTGTTTCTTAGGCGTCGTAGTCTTGATAGGTGGAATTACAAAGGACTTGGTGTTGTTATTAATGGTGGTGGTGGTGGTGTTCATCAATGGCGGATCTTGTGGAGACGAAGCTTGTTTGGCGGTGTCTGTGGAGCCGGTGAGCATTTGAACGACTTGTTTGAAAGTTGAGGTGTCGGCTTGAACGAAGGTAGTGGGGTAAGGGTTTGAAGAGTCAGATCTGGTGATGGGTAGTGGTGAAAGAGGTGGGTTATGGATTTGACAGCCATTAATGGTGCTGCAACTGGTTGGGGAGGTTGTGGAAGATGATGATGGTGGGATGTTTTTATAGGTCTCCTGCAATGGCGATGACCTCGTTGTGGCTTCCATTAACACAGAACTACCAGCTTCCTTCAACACCAATCACTACTGTAATCAATTACAGCAGAGAAAGAAAGAAAGGATGATGAAGAAGAAGAAGAAGAAGAAGAAGAAGAAAAGTGTGTTCTGTGTTAGATTGGTTGAAGGAGAAGGATGAGTGAAAAAGGAGGAGGAGGAAGAGAGGGAGTTGCTTATAATATTTGTTATGTCTTTTATTTATTTATTTATTTATTTATTTATTTTTATATATAAATTTTCATGTTCTTAATAATTTTTTTCTTTAATTTTTAGGTCAAATTTTATTTCCAAGTTGATTTTTCTTTGACAATTTAAAGAACACATCTTCATATTACTCTAATTTTTCTTAATTTTAAAAAATAAATAAATACATAAACAAATAAAGAAAAAAAATTAAATATAATAGTATTCAAAATTTGTAAATTTTGAATAATATTTTTTCATAATTTTTTTTCTCAATAAATAAAAATATAAATCTATATTATAAAATTATGAATAAAATTAATTTAATTATATATCACATATACAAACATAATTAAAATTTATATATTACATAATTAAAATCCAAAATATAAGTGGGTTATTGGGTTGATTTTTGATTGGGTGACAGAGAGAAAACAAAATGCTTCTCCCAAGGCTTTTGGGACTTCAAAAGGAAAAAAAAAAAAAAAAAATTCTTTCCCAATTATTCCACAAAGTGGGCTTATATATATATATATATATATATATATATACACACACACACACACACACATATACATACATAAATATACAAATATGAGATATACAATTGACTTGAGAATCCTTATAATTGATGGGATTGCAATATGCAACTCACCCTCTTTAATTATTATTATCATATGTATTATTCATTTAAATTTCAATTAAGCTCAAACTTAATACATACTTAAGATATAATTTGTTGTATTAAATTCCTTAATTATAGAAATTTACTTTATGGGTTTTTTTTTTTTAATTTAAGTGGGTTTCAAATTTTGTTAATTTTTTTTTAATAATATACTATGAATATATTCTATTCCAAATTTATTAGTGTATAATTAATTATAAAAAAAAATGTTCACATTCTAAATTTCATCATCAAATGTATAAATCTATAAGAGAAAATGCAATTAATTAAGAGAATCAAATTCTCAATTATATAAATTATTATTATATGAAAAGTTATATAGTGGGGGGACCAAATTCCTTCATCACTAAACTCATTATTTTCTACCATTAATCCCTAATCATATGTGTAAACCATTTCATTAATCATTAATCATTTTCTCACCACTCACTTTACCATCCAACTACATACATACATATATATATATATACATATATTGGGTTCCCATAATTCATAAGAAATATGTGAAGAGTCATGTATTTGGCATACAAATTGATAATTAGTTACTATAGCTAATGACCCATTAAGATTAATTAATTAATTAATTAATTAAATTGTTAAAGTAAAACTAAATTTTGATTATTATTTATCAACCCAATTAACAATATACACATATTATCATCATTTACATATGAAATTCTTAGTATATATAAAGTTTTAACATCCCACATTATTTGTTTTAAAGTTAATTAATTAAATCACAGAGGATAAATCTGTAATTTACCCTAGCGTTATGCATTATTTTGTATATAAGTCTAACTTTAATTATTTTATATACTCGATAAGTTAAAATGCATTAATGCCAAACACTAGTGTATTATAATATATGATTAACTTTGTAATTAAGTAAATTAATTTGTATTAGTTTGTTTAACAAAGATAAGCTATACCTACTACTATTTCAAATTGGAATATTTTGGGATTTGTTTTGACATTAAAAAGAAACTCTATATCTATATATATATATACATGCATACGTACATGTATGTGTAGATACATATATATATACATATATAGTCTAATATAATATAATACACATCTAAAAGATGATCAATATTTCATCAATGAATTATGTGTCTAACTTAGTCGTGTTCAATTTAACCATAAACCATATGAATTTAGTAATAATTAATTGTTTAATTAACTAAATTAATTGAGATAATTACAATAATGATGATGATTAATAACACTAATTATAAAGTCAAGGGTTACGGCCGGCTTGACCAAATCCAATTAAAAATTTAGGTTTTAATAAATTTAATATTTAATTGGGAGGAACCTTAGCTTTAAACATTGTTGACTTTGTAGGGACCGCCCAAAACACAGTCGTATTAAACCCACCGTCGTTCTCATTGCTCACAGCCAGTCAGTCAAACCAATTTAACCTACCAAACCCACAACTAATTAATTCAAACACACCCTACAATATACCTTATTATATATATATATATATGTATACACACATATATATGCACTTTGTCTCTGTAAAAAAAAATATATATTATACTTTTGATGAACTGTATATTTATATACGACAGTAAAATGTGTATGACACATCATTAGTGGGAATTATATTGGGATTAAAATTCTAAATCCCATCATTAGTGGGATTATTATTCTTTTAATTTTTTATATTTATTTTGTATCTAAAATATTATTAATTTATTAATTTTTTTTACGAAAATTTTATAATTTATTTTAAGATTCACTTTTCACACGTATATAAAATAAAAATTAAATATTATTTACTAATTTTTTTCATGGTATTTTCAATCTAGGTGTATATATATATGTGTGCAATTACATTTTATTTTCTTTAAAATTAACATGTTGAATTTTTTTTTTCTAAAAAAAAAAAACCCATGATCAATCATCCATTAAATTCAAGAAAAATCAAAGTAAATTTATATGTTTTTACTAAAACTTAATAAATTGTGTATATGTATATATATATATATATATGATTTAGTGCATAGGTAGGAATGGTGGTGATGTAAAGAGCAAGTGGGAAATTGTAAGGAGAAATAATAAGAAAACAAAGTGGAAAGTTTCTTGGTGGGTGAGTGTTTTGTTTGGATACATGTACTTTGATAGACAAGTTAGGGAGGACCTTGACTTTGTGTCCTTCCTTCCTCATCACAAATTTTCTCATTTGTTTTCTAATCACTAAATTGTCTATGTATATATATATATATATATATGTATATATGTATATATGTGTATATATGTGTGTGTATATATATATATGTGTGTATATGTGTGTGTGTGTGTGGTTGTGAGTCAAACTACATGGTCCTACATTTTCCTTTATTGAGTTGCTATAAACAATTGTAATTAATAAATCCACCCAATACAAAAACAAGAATTTGTGATAGTAGTTTATGCCATTGAGAAAGACAAAGTCATAAAAAAAATAAATAAATAAATAAATAAATCATAAAATAATAATAGTTACATCATTATTATAATTTCACACAATACAAATTAAGCTCCTATAAAAAAAATTAAACAATTTTAAAATTTATATTTATCTCTTTAAAAAATTCATTTTTAATAAGTATTTATCTTTATAATCCCATATAAAATCTAAAAAAATTTCAAAATAAAAATATAAAAAAAAACCCAACTAACTAAATTATAAAATATAACTTTACACATTATTTTTTTTATTAGATAATTAATATTTTTCTTCTGTTAATAAAAATATTAATGTGTATTTCTGTATATTTTTATTAAAATAATTTATGTGCGTATGTTACTTAATTAATAAAATATGTATAATTTTATTAAAAAAATTATTTATAATTTATTATAATTAGGTGTATTTAAAATTTAAAAAATAAATAAATAGTGAAATAAAATTTGAAATGACTTGGTTTGTACCCATGTTTTAGAAGGTAGTGTAGAGAATTTATTATTATTATTATTTTTTCCAAAGTGGCAAAAGAAAAAAACTTCATTAATATCCAAAATGGTATTTTTAGAATTCTCCTTTTTATTTGGCTTTGATAGGAAGGTTGCAATCATGAGACATAAGTCAAAAAATTAGACCAATTTTTTCCCCACCTCTATGTTGATAATGTCTTAGCCTAAGTTAAATTCAACCAAACACAAACAAAACAATCTTGGTTTCATAAGAATACAACTTTTAAGTAGTTGCGTAACATCACAATTTCTCTTTACCAAATTGAGTAAAAGTTCGTACCAGACCAAACTAACGCTAAACCAAACTCACGTAGATTTGCAAATCTACTAAAACTATTAGACGTCGAAAGTGAATAAAAACTTATTTCGATAAGATACTTTTTAGCAGCGACAGATTAAATCATCATAAAAATTTTATTCAAAATATAATAATCATGACCGAACAGAATAACTTATCAGAAAAAATATTGAAAGTAAACTATTTACTTAAAGTTTTAGGCGTTAAAAATGTAAAAAAATAAAAAAAAAAATTAAAATTGAATTGTGATATTATTAATGATTCAAAAATTAAAATGATAATTTGTTCAAAATCAAAATACTTAAAAGAAAAATAATCATCTACTAATCATATTGTTTCTTTGATTAAAAAACTAATAATGATTATCTTTTCTAGATTAGTTTCAACTATTTTTGATTGATTCAATGAATCAATACCTTATAATTTGTAGATACAAATAGGAATTATCTCTAAATGAAAAAACAAAAGGTAAAATTATTCTTTACAAGTAATATATATATATTGGTTGGAGTAGGTCTCTGGTTTTAGAGACAATGGAGATATGTAGAGTGGGGACCATTCTCCCCATCCATGATCCATGTTACATGGTTCATGAATAATTCACACACAATGCTGACACCATAGCTGTCTTTCTCTCTTTTTTAATTTTTCTTAGGGTGTTTAAAGTCAAAAAAATATATAATCATGATTCATGTGTGTAATCATAATATGGAGGGGAGGGAAATTTTAATTAGTGCTTTGTTGAGGATCAACCATAGCAGGCTGTTTGGTACTTTCTAATTTCAACAGTTCTATAATCATCATACATTTTGAATTTGGAATCCCACCACACCCTACTGACTAATATAATATGATGTTAAATATACAAGTACTTAACACAATTTGGAATCTTGGCAGAATGTTGAGTAATTTTGCTTTGTGGGTTTGAGTAATATCTACACTACATATAAGAAATTGTATTGTTTATATCCTCTTTCTGATGTTGTGTTATCGTTAATTTGTATGTTCAAGTTAATTAATGAAACGTGCGAATTCATATTCAAAAGTTTTTCGAAGATTTAGTAGCTGGGTAAATACAAAAAAAATTTCTAATGACTCAAATTTCAGAAGGGTATGATGATATTTGAGATCTCTTGGGAAGAGGAAGACTGAAAAAGAAGAACAGTGCAGAAAAGAAGAGAAATTGGCATAAAAAATGTGAATGAATGAATGAATGCTTCCATCAAATGGAAATCAATTCCTGGCTTGCCTTTTTGCGAGTCTTGCGCCCAAAGAGAGCAAAAAGGAAACCACAACCTTCTCTACCACAACATCTCAATTGTCAACCTAATTTTCTCTATAAACACAGCATCATTTTTACACTCACATATGAGTGAGTATCATCCCAATATTCAATAGTAGTAATTGTAACTCGAACC